GTTAAACAGAAATTGTGAAAAAAATAAACGGGGGCTAATAATTTAGGGGGGCTAACAATTCTGACTTCAACTGTATTTATATATATATATATATATATATATATATATATATATATATATATATATATATATATATATATATATGCGTGTCTGTGTGATGTATGTAAACTTTGGCCCGCGACAACGTTTGTTTTTTTGCATCTGGCCCTCGGCCCAAAAAGTTTGGACACCCCTGGTCTACAGATTACACCACTGTTATACAATAACTTGCCTAAGTACCCTAACCTGCCTAGTTCACCTTATTAACCTAGTTAAGCCTTTACATGTCACTTTAAGCTGTATAGAAGTGTCTTGAAAAATATATATATATTGTCAAATATTGTTTACTGTCATCATGGCAAAGATAAAATAAATAAGTTATTAGAAATGAGTTATTACAACTATTATGATTAGGAATGTGCTAAATAAATAAAAAATTATTTCTGTTTAACAGATATTGGGGGAAAAAATAAACAGGTCAATAATTCTCACTTTAACTGTAAAAACACATTGTGATATCGATGCTCAAACGATATATTGTTCAGCCCTAACCTAAAGGTAACAAATTAAAAACATCTTTGGTTCTCATGCTATCCACATTTATATATATTTTATATATCTACATTTTTAACAACACTTCCTTTCATATATGAAAAAGTTCAGTCATGTAGCTTTTTAAAGACATGTCTGAGTAATCGCTGAATGAACTTTTTCTAAAGGAAATCACTGACAAACAATAGACAATAAACAAAACAACATCTGATAATCTGTCGAAGGACTATAAAACATCTGATCATCTGTAAAGTGCTTTAAACAAACATGTTACGAAAAAATACATCAAATTCATACAAGAGATTAAACTCACCTCAGATTTACGCCGGTGTTTCCTAGGCGTTCGTCTTCGATTGTGTGCAAACTAGATGTATTTTGATAGCGTTTTAACCGCCTGACATTCCTCTCACAAGGAGATAACAGGAACAATGATGGTAATGTGAGATGGAAAAATTCTTAGATGAATGATCTGACTGGCCTAGCTGTCTTTGAAATGTATGATTACTTAAACTGGCTCATTTAGTCTTGTTTTCTTCTATGCTTTGGAAGTAGGACTTTTATATAAAACAATTTTATATTAAATATTTTTAATAATATTAGTGGGCGACACGGTGGCTCAGTGGTTAGCACTGTCACCTCAGAGCAAGAAGGTTGCTGGTTGGAGTCCCAGCTGGGCCAGTTGGCGAATCTGTGTGGAGTTTGCATGTTCTCCCCGTGTTGGCGTGGGCTTCCTCAGGGTGCTCCGGCTTCCCCAAACTCCAAACACATTGGCTAAAGGTGAACTGAATCAACTAAATTGGTCGTAGTGTATGAGTGTGTGAATGTGAGCGTGTATGGATGTTTCCCAGTAATGGATTGAAGCAGTGTATCAGCTGTAAAACATATGCTGGATATGTTGGTGCACTGAAAAAAATGATTTAGCCCTCTATTAAATTAAACATAATTCAATTTAGTTTATTTTAAACAATTTAATTTAGTTGTTGATTTTATTAAATTATTTTTAATCGGTTTTAAGTGAATAAGATGTGTTTTGAACCAATCTAAATTAATTAATTAAAGTCTATTAGAAAAAATTATGTTAGCTTTGTGCGCATGCGCGTTATGTTCCGTTGCCTCGGCGCCAAAGCCCAAAGGAAGTTTTACAGAATCCAGTCAGATTGAAGCAAGACGCCAGAGCCGGATTTCTGTACATCCATCTGCACAGTAAGTCACATTTTATATTGTACCAGACTGTTTGTTACAGAAAAAAACTTTGTGGGTAACATAGACGCATAAAATGGTCTCTCGTTCGGACTGTCTATTTTAGTCGTTTTTAAATTTCACAGCGACCAGCCGTCGAGCGCGCTCGCAAGTTAAGCTAACAGTTAACGTTACACACGGTTTGACAAATCTCGCTTTTATGTCGCAGAATATATTTAAGATTCTTTTTAGCAAGAATGTAGTTATGTAGACTTGATATATAATGTTTTTTAATGAAGTAAATGGCTATTTTCAAGAGAATAAGCATTTTCTTTGATGTGACGACAGTGTCCGTGATCCGCCATTCCAAACGAAAAAAGCTTCGTTGCTAACGTTAGCTCAGTCCTTTGTGAATTTACCGTGGCTTTTACTATGGTTAACATTAAACATGCGTTTAGATAGTTGTGAACGGACAGTACCATACTGATTTTGTTATAGAACGATTTGGTCTGGCGTTAGGGCAGTACTGACTGTCTTAGGAGGTTGTCGAATGTGTGCCCATACTGGCGTAACATTAACTTTTAACGTAAAGGGCGTCAATTTATACAGTTCTTTATTTTTTTTACGTGAGATGCTGTAATTATGTCTTTGGGGTTATAATGCTCTTAATGGGCTAACTTATATTCACAGCAAGTGTTTATCAGCCACCGATAAACGTCCAGCGCAAGGTTAACTTAATGTGACTTTTTCCATATTCATAAAGTGCCTTTTACATCAACGATAATGTAATTTAATTAAAATAATATCCTTTAAATAAGCTGAAGCAATCCTTTAGTTGTTCAAACGTAAAACACATGCAGACGAGTGCTAAAACTTCATGGAAAATATTGTGGTTAAAATAAATTGACATATTTTTAAGACATGGCGTTGAAGAATGGAATTTAATGCAGTTCTTTGTCTGGTCTGAGACCCACTTTATATCGTATCAATCAGGCAGTGACGATTATCTTAATCATATTAATCACGTTCAGCAATATGTTCAATAAGTAATTTATCTAAATGTTTCCTAATATAATTAATCGGTAAACAATATGTTGATTAAGAAGTTGGTCATGTTGTTACTTGTGCTGAATTTTGAACCTAAATGATAATCATGTGCTTCCTTTTATTTGAGGTACTGTACAACAAGTTTGCTTTGCTGAGTTCCTTGGTCAGGGGTTTAAATACATTTTCTGTCCAGTACTGCAGTTGGAATTTTCCATCAACATTTTTATGGTAAGTAACTGCAAAACATTTATCACTACACATTACAGTAAACAGTTTCTTAACTGAATATGTTGCTCTGAAAAATCTAAATAGTCCCAAAAAAGGAAATTTACTCACTATTCACTCACCATGTTTTCATGGTTCCAAACCTTTGAGTTTCTTTTATCTGTTGAACACAAGACAAAATATTTTGAAGAGTGTTAGAAACCAGTAATCATTGACATTCATAGTAGGAAAAACATATTATGGAAGTCAATGGTTACCGGTTTTCATCATTTTTCAAATGATCTTATGTTGTGTTTATCAGAACAAAGAAACTCAAACAGGTTTGTGACAAGTGAAGAATAAGTAAATGTTATTGTTGCTTCCCTAGTTTTCACAGTACTAGGGTGCAGTAAGAGCACAAACACAGAGTTCAACTTTGATTCAACTTCGTGATTCTCTCAAGAGAGCCGACCAAAATGTCTGACCTGCCATAAAATGATTTGACTATCTGCCGACCAAGAGAGGTTGTTCACCTTTTTTTTCCTCCTGTACATTGCATCAACACAGCACAGCAAATATCAAAGTTTAAATTTAATTTGATTCAAAGAAGAGTCGCATCAGAATTTGGCTCAAAATTGCACAATGCACATTCGGCCTTAAGCCTGGTTTGTACTTCTGCGTTGAGTGATTGGCGTGACCTACGGCGCCTGCCCTGCGTGCAGCTGAGCACTTATACTTGTGCGTGCTGTTTGTGTTGTTCTACAATAACACTTACAAAAGCAGTAGGTTTATATGTTCCCTCTGTATGGAGTTTCTTCGCTTGGGTTTTGTTTTTTCTGTACACTATCTTAATGAACAAGAAGATAAAACTCGCTCATTCTGAGGCGGGAGCCGGCAGTCATGCAACAACTTTAATCATAATGTAAACACAAAGCAACAGTTTCCACCTGGAGCTATTTCATGGGACTCTACACTTGTAAACACTCGCTCCAATGGGTTGGCGTGGCTCTCAACCCCGCCCACACACATAAACACTACCAAGCCCACTAATAGAGCGTGCGCTACGTGTTGTTGCGATGTGTAGTTACATTTTTGGAGAGATGCGCCACGGCAAGGGCTTTTCAACTGCGCGCAGGCTGCGTCGGACCATACACGTGCATTTGATACAGAAGTATAAATCAGCCTTTACATGTCTTTATCTTGGCTGAACATGTTAAATTACAAGGTAGTCGAAAAAAGAAATCACTTTAAATATAGTGTAACTAAACAAACTATTCACAAGTAAACAGTCAGTTGATTAAATAAATTTGAGTATCATTATAAATGTAATATACATGTAAGGGACAATCGTCAGATTTAGGTGTGTTAAAGGATAATAAGTGCACAACATCGAGGCAAAGTTTAATGTTTAGATTATTACTGCAAGTTGAAATTTAATATAGTTTTAATTTCTAAATATAACATTTTAAAAATAAATATATAGGCTATGTTCTGAATAATGCTCATGTCTATGCTTATCATGCCACAAACATACTTATATTCCATGTATTTGACGATGCAGTCAATGCATGCACTGAAAAAAATATGCTTATAGGCTACCTTTACCTGCAGGTTTCGCTAGCTGGGCAAAACTTAGATAGGCTATTAATAATGGATATACATTAAATATGTATAATTTTATTTGTGAAAGCAAGAGAGAAACTTGTGGGAGTGCTGTAATAAAGGAGTCTCAAATGACTAACAATTGTGCATTACGGTAATGTGTTTTATTCGGGACATGGCATATAACATAAACAATCGATAACATTTGAGCTGGTTTCAGTTATTAATTCTTTTTATTTTTAAAATATATTTATTTAACAGGTGGCGCAGTGGGAAGCGCTCTCACCTCACAGCAAGAAGATCGCTAGTTCGATTCTTGACTGGATCTGTTGGCATTTCTGTGTGGAGTCTGCATGTTCTCCCCGCGTTCGCATGGGTTTCCTCCGGGTGCTCCGGTTTCCCCCACAAGTCCAAAGACATGCGGTATAGGGGAATTGGGTAAGTTAAATTGTTGTAGTGTATGTGTGTAAATGAAAGTGTATGAATGTTTCCCAGTGATGGTTTGCAGCTGGAAGGGCATCCGCTGTGTAAAACATGCTGGATAAGTTGGCAGTTCATTTCGCTGTGGTGACCCCAGATTAATAAAGGGATTAAGCAGAAAAGAAAATAAATTAATATTTATTTAACTTAATGTTAATATAACACTACTGATGATTTTTAGCTGAATCTGTGGTACATGGTGATTCAAATAATGGCAGCGAATGAGGATAGGTTTTTCAGTTTAAGAATATAGTCCAAATCTAAAGCCATGGCTCCTGATGAAGGTCCTGTAAAGTGAAACGATTGGTCTTTGTAAGAAATTTAACATTATTTGCAATATTAGCATTAATCCACGGCCTGGTCAAACAGATGGTTTTTGGGTTGTGAGACGTAGTTTAGACGAAGTTGTCGGCGATTCTTCCTATTGTAAAGTCATGCAATGTTCAAGTCCCTGTCGCCGATCCATCTTGCAGTGAAAATAAAGCAGCAACGACTACTTTCAAAATCATGCAGTCTGAACTCGGCATTAGTTAATGATTAAACTTAGAGACCTGGACATCGACACGTCTCTCTGCAACTGGATTATGGACTTTCTGACTAAAAGACCTCAGAATGTTAGATCAGGCCACATTTGCTCCACCATCTTCACACTTAACCCTGGTGTACCACAGGGCTGTGTGCTGAGCCTCTTCCTCTACTTCTTTTTTACTATCAACTGTAGGCCTGTGAATAGATCCAACATCATCAAATTTGCAGATGACACCACAGTGATTGGTCTAATCAGCAATAATGATGAGACGGCCTACAGGGAGGAGATACATCATCTGTCCACTTGGCCACTACCAAGCCGACCAATCACAGAGCTTGTGCTACGTGTCGTTGCGATGTGAAGTTACATTTTTTGAGAGGTGCACGTCAGCGACGCCGACGGCCACGGCGAAGGGCTATGCATCAGCGCCGTAGCATTGGCGTGCGTTTGACGCAGAAGTATAAATCAGCCTTAAGGAACAGCACTTTCCTCAGAGCTGTCCCTTTTTTAACTCTATCCCCCACTAATTATTTTGCCCTCCTAATGCACCCCCACTGTCCTCATAACTTGTACTCCTCATTATCATTGCACTATTTAACATTTGCACATTTAAAAATTACACATTCATTGCACTACATTAGACTGATTCATTCATTTGAACTATACATATACTGTACACTTGTAATTGTTTATCTATCTGTACACTTCTGATTACTAATAGCAACCTGTACATATAATAATTTATTTTAAATCTCTGTTCATAGCTAATACAACCTGTATATAATGTTCATAGTACATCCATCTGTAAATATCACTAAAGTTTTTCTATATCTGCACTTTATAACTTATACCTGTATACTGCACTTGCTGCTGTTGCACTGCTGGTTAAACTGATTTTCGTTGCATTGTACTTGTACATGTGTAATGACAATAAAGTTTAATCTAATCTAATAAATTTCTTAACGTTTTCCAATTTGTCATTTATGTATTTAACTAATCAAATTTGTATTATTTACAGACAACCGATGTCCATGTCAAAAGAGCGTCTATTCTTCAAGCTCTTTTTACTTACCTTGGTGAGGATGAGGCATGCCTGGTGAAAGAATACATGGTGAGTGCATCATAGTACTAGTGGTTGCACCTGGGCTATAAGAAAGAACTGCTTTGTTCAGAGGCTGAGGGTGGGGTTACAGTGGCCAATGAGACAAACAAACTTTTTCGAGTGCCATATTTGAATTAATAGGTGAACCTAATGTTGAACACATTATGGTCTATTCAAATCACATTGCGCTGCACAAACACTTGCTAGATTTGTGCAAGTAAGTTGCATACTAATTCAATGCAAAAGTATGAATAGAACAATGAACAAAATATTTTAATATATCAAAAACAAAATTAATAATTTTAAAGAATTTGAAAATAGTGTTTTCACTGTATATGTCAATGGCTTTTTTCTTTTTTCAAATGCTTTCTATTTCCATATATTTGTACATAAAGTTAAAAAAAATGCCATTGGTCACTACACACGTAAGAGCAACCTATTATCTTTTGCCTCAAACTCTTGCATTGTAATGGTAATACACACTGTTATTGAACCGTGAGAAAACTATCAGCTTGTTGAGTGTGACATCACATCGCTTGACTAAATCAAATAGTATTGAAAGACTCAACAAATGGTAATAATAAACATTTACAAAACGATGTGATACTTTTTGAAAATCGCAATATATGTGCCTAAAAGTTTGCCTAAAAATACTAAATGATTAAAAGTTGCATATGTTTCTTAATCCTTTGACGTTCTCAGCATTGGGTTCAGATCTGTGTTTGACCCCAGAGATATTCATTGTTTAGTCCAGGGGTGTCCAAGCTTGGTCCTGGAGGGCCTGTGTCCTGCTAAGTTTAGTTCCAATTCCAATTAGACACACCTATGCTAGCTAATCAAGCTCTTACTAGGTGATCTAGAAACTATCTTGCCTCAACACACCTGCAAGGATGAGCTAAAATCGGCAGAATACTGGCCCTCAAAGAAGGAGTTTGGACACCACTGTTTTAGTCTTTCTAAACAGTATTATTATTTCTAAATTACAAACAAATAGTCACACAATTACAACTAAACCACTTTTTTCCAAAAAAGAGAAAATTTATGTTTATGTTAAGATTAAAATTACTGTTTAAAAGCAACTTGACTTGAATTACATTTTTAGGTCAATGGGTGGCCGTACTAACAATCAAAAATGTATTGCTGAATAATTCTTCAAAAATGTTTAATCTAATAATGAAACATGACGTTTTTTTAAAGTATGAATTCAAGTTTTAAATTTGTATATTTACTTATACATTTAAAATATACTTAATATATTTAAATAATTTTGGTTTAATTAATGACACGTAAAAATACTAATTAAATAAATATACATGTCTATTAATTTGTCCAATTAAATTTGTTTTATTATCATTGTACTTTTTTTTTATTTGCAGAGGTCCTGTGGGTCTTTGAAAAGTCTTAAGTATTAAATTAGATGTTTACAATTTAAGGTCATAAAAAGCCTTAAATTTTGCATCAAGGTGTGACATTTCTACTGAATTTCATTCGCTGATGTTTATTTTTCTTGTGCACAATTATTCTTAAGCCTTGTGTGCTGTTGAGGATATTAATTTGGCGACAGATTCCTTTGTTTGAGCTCATGAAATGATTTTTGGTGACATGTTAATTTTACTCATATTTTGGGAAAATGCTTTAAAATTTTTAAAAGCCTCAACAATACACTCTGGGCAAATGTATTACTCTTTTGTTATGTTTGTGGCTGATTTTGCCTCATTGACTTCCATTATAACAATATTCTTTAATTGCAAGGTCATGACAGTATATTAAATATTTTCGATCTTTAATGGTTTTTCTTGTTAGGAAAAGGTAAAATTTGTCATTTTTATAGTTGATCATCAGTTGCAGAGCAAACCATTGCAAAGGTTTGTGGTTTTTATATAGAGTTATATGGAGTATTTTGTGTGTGTGTGTGTGTGTGTGTGTGTGTGTGTGTGTGTGTGTGCGTGTGTGTGTGTAAGTGCGTGTGTGTGTTTAAGTGCGTGTGTGTGTGTAAGTGCGTGTGTGTGTAAGTGCGTGTGTGTGTGTATGTGCGTGTGTGTGTAAGTGCGTGAGACTTTTGCACACATTGTTTTGAAAGTTGCTTATTTACATTTTTTCAGACATATAGTAAACATAGTAAGTGTATTTATGCACACATACACACACACACTATCATTTACTGTTTATACTCCAAAGAACTCCATATAAAAGCCAGAAACTTTTTTGCACAGGACTATCTAAATGGTTATGCTGTCAACTGATCATTAACAGTAAAAATGACAAAATATACATCTACCGAAAAGGGAAGAAAACCAGCAACAATGCGAGATTACATGCTGTCATGGATTTGCATCCAAAAAATGTTATAATGGAAGTCAATGAGGCAAAAAAAAACAGCAACTAACATAAGGAAAGGGTAGAAAATTCAAATAATACAGAAGGGTTAAGGTGAACAATTCTGACCAGGTATACAGTGGGTCTGATCAGAAGGTATTTCCACATTCAAGTGGCCAAATCTGTGGTTTTCGAACCTTAAACCTTGGGTAATATTATTTAAATAATAATGCAATAATGCTTCCTTGACATTATATTTAGTTTTTAACATATTACTGTATTGTTTGCCTTTCAATTATTTTTAGTTAGTCTTAAAAGATCTTAAATTTACCCTGATAAAACCTGAATAAACCCTGTAAATAATTGTGAAGGAGTCGTACTTGCAGATCATGCACAAATATATGTTCGCCAATATGCAATCATAAATGATTGTTATAATATTTCACAGGTATCAATGTGGGTGTGGGGAGGGCCATTAAGGTTTTGGTTTTATTTACATTTGATTTCTTCTGACTTTTTACAAAATATGTTTCAAAAATAATGTCTAATAATGGTTTCTTTTTATTTAAATATAGGGCAACCAAAAAGAAGAATTTTTGAAGGACCTGACAAACACCACCATGGCCATATGTGTCATCAAAAAGGAAAGAGGAGATTATGAGGACATTGGCATCGTTGTGGATGGAACAGTGATTATTGAACAGATAAAATCTGTTGCACAAGCCTGTGCACTGATGTTGGGGGCGATTTATGTGCTTGATTTGGCCTACCCAAAAGAACTCAAATACTATTACGAGTTTGCCCAAAAAGTACTTGTGCAAATGAACTCTGACAAGCTCTGCTCAAAGGCTCTCATACTGGAAAACAGTGTGATACTGTAATTTTAAGCATTGAAGTGTTGATAAATGCTCAACAACCAAATGTATATCATATACAAATTGCAGTTTAGTGTAGGAATTGTTTAATAAGTGAATTCAGTTTTCTTTGTGTGCAAAATTAATTAGCTGTAGGAACTTGTTTTAAATGGTGTGTGTGTGTGTGTGTGTGTGTGTGTGTGAGAGAGCATGTGCATTCTATAAACTTTGTATTTATTCCATTTCATACAACTTGTAGTTGCTCAATATGTTAATGAGTTATTTTTTTAAGTTAATTAGTTGATTATTTTGTGTATTGGGGTGTGTGTGTCATAAGGAATGCAGTTTGCTCTAAGACTTCATACAGTTTTCTTTTATGTGTTGGTTTAAATTAAATGTGCTGTACAAACTGTTTATTGTTTTATGGTGTGCTGCTAAAGCATTTATTGGCAGTGATTTATGTTTTGTTAAAAAAATGCATCTTAAAAAGTCATTAAAATGAATTCAAAACAAATGTGGTCAAGTGTCATTTCAAAGTGTATTTGCAAGCAGTTTAATGATCATTTTAGACATCAAAAATAAATAGATGTAAGTAGGAATTACATAATTAAATTATAGTGAACTAAATGAATTTCATTGGATAAATGTAACTAAATAAAATTGATTAAATCCAACTTATTTTGATTGTTTAAATCCAACACATATAAATTGAGTAAATCCAACCTAATTTGATTGTTTAAATCCAACACATATAAATTGAGTAAATCCAACCTAATTTGATTGTTTAAATCCAACACATATAAATTGAGTAAATCCAACTAAATTTGTTTGCTTAAACTTAACCCAATTCAATTATTTGCAACAGCTTGCCTTAAAAAAATTAAGTAAATCCAATGAATCATTTTTTTCAGTGTGGTTCATTCCGCTGAGGCAACCCCTGATGAATAAAGGGACTAAGCAGAAGGAAAATAAATAATATTATTGTGAGTAGTAAGCATATTTTATGAATATTGGAGGTATTAATGTTAACATACCAACACAATCTCACAGCAATTCGTAACTTTTTAATTTAGGGGCTGATTCGTATGAATTCGTACGATCTAATTCGTACATTTTAGTACGATTTGATCATCCCACAATGACGGTTGGGTTTAGGGGTGGGGTTAGGTGCCACGCCTCCTTTTTAAAATCATACAACTTCGTACGTCTGAACTCGTACGAATTTGTACGAATTAGCCACTAAAGTGCAAAACGTAAAATACTTACGTTTTCTCGTGAGATCAGGCTGAACATTTATTATACATTAGCTGAATACTTGAATAATTGACAGTTGATGCTGCTGAATATGAATAAATACATGCATTAGTGAAAAATAGATGCAATTCTAGTGAAATGTCTTCAAAAACCTCCATTTATGTCAATTTTTAAGTGTATTTTGATCAAACTGAATGGTATTTCCCCTCTAAGGGTCGGAAGTCTTAAGTTACAGTCTGTATTTTCCTTTTGTTTAGGTAAAAACAGTAGCTATGTTTATGAAGGTCAAAAATGGCAAAAATGGACTGTTGCCTATGGGATATGTTTATCGTTATAAAACGAAAAAGTATTTCATGAGATATATTTTAAATTTCTATGACTTGTTATGCATAAATAAATGTGAGAAGCATCACCTGAGCATTTAATTTACAATCTGAAGTGAAAATCCAGAATGAGCTATCTGCACACGGACTTTTAATTTTCAGCCAGGCAGCCCAAGGACTTGCGGTGACCTGTCTTTCCATTACAAAGTTGTCACGTTTAAGATCTGATTTCTTTAAAAATCAATGATCTTCGATGCCTGTTAGATATACGATATGAAGTGAATCTCAGACCAGACAAGAAGCATGTCTTTAAAACATGAGTTTGTTTTACCCCAGTATTTTCAATGTAACTTCTGCGCTAGCCTATTTCTACTGACGGTGCTAGTGGTTACAACAGTCTTTCATCTCATTTTACGCTTGAACAATAAAATGAATGCTTAAGGCTATTTAACTGAATGTATTGTAATTATATTACAACATCGATTCTGTAAAAACAACCTTGTGAAATTGAAAAAAGTCACATTAAACTTTCACCGGAAGATCATTGGCTTTAAAACTGCAGCTCCCATTGCGATTGATTCTAAATCAGATACAGTTGTGAAAATGATTGATATCATTTATTAAATAGCCCATACATTTGATTTTATTAACATCTGCCCCCGCCCCAACCCTAAACCCGTCACAGTAACGTAAAAATATTATATATTGTTATACAGTGTTTCTGTGTAGAGTTTGCATGTTCTCCTTGTGTTGGCGTGGGTTTCGTCCGGGTGTTCCGGTTTCCCTCACAAGTCCAAACACATGAGCTATAGCGGAATTGGGTAAGCTAAATTGTCCGTACTGTATGTGTGTAATTGGGAGTGCTTGGATGTTTCCCAGTGATGGGTTGCAGCTGGAAGGGCATCCACGCTGCGTAAAACGTGCTGGATAAGTTGGCAGTTCATTCCGCTGTGGCGATCCCTAATTACCCTGCTGAAAAATCCAGTTTAAACCAGCCTATGATGGTTGGCTGGTTTTAGCTGGTCAACCAGGCTAGTTTTAAAGGTGTTTTGGCCACTTCCAGGCTGGTTTCCAGTCATTTCCAGCCTGGTCAGGCTGGAAAGTGACCAGCTAAAACCATCTAAAACCAGCTTGACCATCCTGGTTTAAGCTGGACATAGCTGGTTTTGGCTGGGCTCCCAGTCTGGCTAGGCTGGTCAAGCTGGTTTTAGTTGGTTATTTTCCAGCCTGTCCAGCTAAAACCAGGCTGGAAATGGTGTGAAACCAGCATGGAAGTAGCCAAACCCCCTCTAAAACCAGCCTGGTCGACCAGCTAAAACCAGCCAACCATCCTAGGCTGGTTTAAGCTGGATTTTTCAGCAGGGAAGGGACTAATCCAAAAAAGAAAATGAATGAATGCTGTATCCTATCTAGACTTTACCCAGAATTGCAAAGTATAAACTCATTACAATTCCTTAGAATAATTCAATAAATGTGTTTTTTTATCGCTTAATTTGCTGATTTTGTGTTTTGTATTGGACAATAATTAATAGCCTACAGTCAACAACTAATAATTAGCAATTAACTTATGTAAACATGAACTAACTAAACTGACGTTTTTCGTCGACCGTTGCTTTCCCGCCTTTACGTCTTGTTCAAGTCGTTGATAAAACGCTGTTTAAGAGAATAACTTTTTAAAACCGCATTATATAATTAATTAACATTTCACATAGCTTATTATCACAGTTTTAGTAGCAACAACTTGACATTTCTCAAGTCAGTAGTGCGGTTCTTCTGCTCACCTCAATGGGTTTCTTGTCTCGATGTGTTTTAATTTTTTTACAGTTTAAAGTAGCCAAAACTAAAGCCAGAAGTGGGCGGGGCTTAGGTGTGCCACGTGGGCGGTTCTTATTTAGATTGACAGCTGCACTGTTAAAGGGAAAATCAACGTGGCAAAACAAACTCCAGAGAGAGGAATGAAGCCTCTCTTCGGGACTTAAAACAGCTCCCGTGGTTCAAAATGAAGATAAATGCTGAAACCCCGTCGCAAATTTATTACTATAATGGTATTTTATGTCCTGGCATTCAGTAAAACGTGTTAAATACGTCAATTTCTTTGATTAGTGTCTAAGATCTGTCTTCAGAGGACAGTGACGTTGGAGGAAATCTGATTCATTATAAATCATAAAAAGGTAGGTTATAACTAAATTTCGTTTTTTATTGTTCTCTCACGTAATTTCCATAGCAACACACTGCATTTACTTATAATAGTTACATTAAATTGTTAAATTATTTTGCATTAGGAAGTCTATGTAGTTTCTATGCTGCTTTTGAAAAATAGATTTAAAACAATGCTCGTAATTATTTACGCTGCCAACGCTTTTTTTGCTACATGAGATTATGTGTTATGTGCCGGTCAGTTGGGTCACTTTGATAGTGAAATAAGATGCAAAGTTTTGTATGAGCAATCAGCGCCACCTGTTGGTGACTTGTACAGTCTGAAAATACAGTGTAACCTTATCATGCAATTGCATCATCCAGTCAACTTTACTGAAGGAAATACAGCACATCATACTTCTACTATCACGGCTAATAATAATTCGATGCATAATAAAATAATAATAATTCGATGCGTATTAAAATGTAAACTACATTGTGTGTGTTAAAAGATCTAAAAGTAGACGTATATTAATAAATTACGAAGGGTTGCGCGTTTGAAGCAGCAGTTTCTTATAAACTAATGATTTAAAGATTATGCATTAACAATATGTGTACTTTCATTGCTACATTTAGGAACGAGTAATGTAAATCTAATGTAAAGCACGAAAAATATGATAAAGCGCACCCACACCCACAACGTCACCAACACGTGGTGTAATAAGAGGGCGTGGCTGAATAAAATAGTATTGGAAGCGCGGCGTGTTTTAGTTCCGTGATTACAACAACCGCAAAGGAAACGTAAAAGGCGCGAAATGTTTTGCTTTGCTCCTTCGTATCTTCATCTTTTATTTCTGTAACGTTGATTAGTGTTTGTATGTTTTCGCTGGGGAATGTGTGAGGTAGTATTTTAAGAGGATTTGAGTCGCACATATACACTTGTGAGCCGGTGACAATACCCACGCCATAAGTCATAACACGTGCCCGTGCTTTTGAGAGACAGACACAACCGACAAGGTGAGCATTTATGAAAGTTATATTTACTATGTGTTTTTGGATATAATTAGGAAGCTGTGCTGTTTTACATGCTGATTTTAGGCATGCTGATACAATTTCATTCATGTTGCTGCTGTTGTCTATGACTGCTTTGCAGTGTTGCTAAGTTAATGCTAGCTTTTGTTTGTTTTTTTCAACACGTGAGAATCTATTTCTGAATATGTTCAAGAAAGTGATTGATTTAAAAATATATTGTTATTTAGACATTTGCTGCTGATAGGTTTTTACACCTGTTAAAATCAGGTAATATTGTAAAAAAACAACGGGTTTCCTGTCTTAAAGAGTGTTTTGGTTTAGTTGTTTTAACATTAACACTGTATTTACTTTGAAGTTTGAAGTAAAGTTGGTTTTACATTCACACATTCATTCAGTGACAACTTGTGACATGCTCCCCATATTGTTTACCATGGTACTTTACATATTTGGCCCGAATTCACATTTAAGTATGTCTTCAAAACAACATTTACACTATATATTTGACTGCACAAAGTTGTACTTTGATAGTCATTGGCTGATAATATGATTTACCTAGTTATAACTGGCAAAAAATAATTTCTGAAATTATAATATTAAGGAGAAACCTCAAATGTGTGAATATAAAAGCAACTTTACCTCAGTGTGTTTGGACATTAATAGTTAGCTTTGCTCAAGACTGCTTTACAGTGTTGCTAAGTTAATGTTAGCTTTTGTTAATTTTTTATTTTGAATGTGAGAACTTGCTCATGAAAATGGTAAATTAAGTAATTGATTTTAAAATATTTAGTTTTTATTTAGACAGTTACTGCTGACAGTGTTTGTATTACACCTGTTAAAATCAGGTAATGTTAAAGAAAAACAGTGTTTTTACATTCACACTGTCTTTAACCTTGAAATTGGAGATGAAGGTAAAGTTGGTTTTATATTCCCACAATAATTTAGATTGAGGTAAAGTTGGTTTTATATTCGCACATTCGTTCATTTAGAAGTCTCTATACTGTTTACAATGTCACTTTGAATATTCGATCAGAATTAGCATGCTAGTATGACTTGAAATCAACATTAACACTGTTTATTTGACCGTGAGCAATGTTGTACTTTGATAGTTATTGGCTGCTAATATGATTTCGCTATTTAGAGTTTGCAAATAATACTTTTATGAAATTATATTATTAAGAGGGAAGTCTGAATCTGCTAATATAAAACTAACTTTACCTCTATATAATTTAGTGACAGCTTGTGACATGCCTCCTATATTGTTAACCATAGTACTTTACATATTTGGACAACGTTACCATTATTTAATTGACTGTGCACAATGTTGCACTTTAATAGTCATTGGCTGCTAATATGATTTCGCTATTAATAATTTGCAAAGATTACCTTTCTGAACTTATATCATTAGAGTGAAAATCTGAATGTTAACATAAAACCAACTTTACCTCAATGTGCTTGGACATTAATAGTAAGCTGTGCTGATTTACAAGCTGCTTTTGCCTCATGCTGATATAATTCCAGTCACATTGTATGTTGCTGGTTAAACTGCTTTACAGTCTTAGCTAAGTTAACTTAAGCATTTGTTGTGTATCTTTTATTTTGAATATAACTTATTTATGAATATGTTAAATGAAGTAATTGATTTAAAAGTATTTTGTTATTGTTATTTAGACAGTTGCTGCTGACAGGTTTTTGTTAAAATCAGGTAATGATGAAAAAACAGTGGGTTTCCTTCTGTCTTAAGGAGTGTTTTGCTTTAGTTGTTTTTACATTCACACTGCCTTTAACCTTGAAATTGAAGATTGGGGTAAAGTTGGTTTTATGTTCCCACTTTCATTTAGTGACAACTTGTGACATGCTTCCGATATTGTTTACTTTTCATATTTGTCTTGAAATCACATTTAAGTATGACAACAACATTAGCACTATTTGTTTGACTCTGCACAATGTTGGACATTGATAGTCATTGGCTGATATGTTTTTTATTTTTTAGAACTTATTATTAGAGAGAAACCCCAAATGTGTTAATATAAAAGCAACTTTACCTCAGTGTGCATGGACTTTAATAGTAAGCTGTGCTGATTTACAAGCTGATTTTGATATAATTCCATTCACATTGTATGTTGCTGCTGTTATCAATGGTTGAGAAACTGCTTTAGAGTCTACGCTAAGTCAACTGAAGCATTTGTTATTTACTTTTAAAGTAAGAACTTATTTATGAATATGTTCAATTAAGTAATTGATTTGAAAATATATTGCATATTGGCTTTAGACCAGGGGTGTCCAAACTCGGTCCTGGAGGGCCGGTGTCCTGCAGATTTTAGCTCCAACTTGCCTCAACACACCTGCAAGGATGTTTCTAGAAAGCCTAGTAAGAGCTTAATTAGCTAGCCCAGGTGTGTCTGATTGGGGTTGAAACTTAACTTTGCAGGTCACCGGCCCCCCAGGACAGAGTTTTGACATGCCTGCTTTAGACCGTTACTGCTGACTTAATTTTTTTTTACACCTGTAAAAAATTAGGTAATGTTGAAAAACACAATGAGTTTCCTCTCTTAAAAAGTGTTTTAGTTTAGTTGTTTGTTTGTTTTTTTACTTTGAGATTGGAGATTGAGGTAACGTTGGTTTTATATTTGCACATTCATTTATTTTGGAACAGTAAGAACTTGTGATGGGCTACTTTGAATGTTTGGTCTGAAATTGCATGCAAGTATGATTTGTGTTGGAGTACTAAAGGCACTGAAATGAGGTAAATGTGGATTATGTTTGCACATTAATTCAGTGACACTTGTGGCATGCTCCCTATACTGTTAACCATGATACTTTGAATATTCCATCTGAAATCACATGAAAGTAGTGCTGCACAATAAATGGTTTCAGCATCGATATCGCAACATGTGCATTCGCAATAGTCACACAGGATGTGCAGTGTAGAGCCTGAATAACAGTTGAACAGGAGCCACAGAGCATGTGATTTGTAGAGTTGCATTTGTATCAGGTATTTCATTTTTTTTGTGAGTTTGAAATGTTTGGGCACAAGAAATGATAAGGTTTGGAGGTGTAACAGATTAATAGTTTTTTTTCTTTTTCGTTAATGTAAGATGAAGACTGTACAGTAGAGCAGGGCGATTTGGCCTAAAATCAGAATCTCAATTAATTGAACATTTTACTTGATTATGATTAATGAACAATCATTTTATTAATTTATTTTGCCCTCATAGTTCACTAATAAGTGTTGCACAGTAAATGCGCTCCGATATTAAAAATGAGAGATTTTTGAGTGATGGGTGCATTACTTGATTTTAAAATAATTGAAGAAATCGCGCACCATCTACTGTATGAATATTTAATAACATGAACATTGAACAACTGAAATTGAAATACACACTGCCTAAAACCTAGTCACTTTTTCTTACAAAAAAAGTGAAAACATTTTGCACTTTTGAAAACAAAATTAATTATTTTCATTGTTTTTCATACTGAAAGTGAAAATTAGCGGCATCCTTTCTAAATAAAATAACATTGTTTCCAATCATCGTCAATGCAGTGCAAATGTGTGACGTGTAGTTAAATGTTTTGAAAGGTGCGCAGGTTTGCGACCGCGCGAAGGCTGCACTGCACCATAGTTCAACACTGATGTATAAATCAGCCTTAATAGAGCGGGGTCACATGATTCACACGCGGTAGGGAAAGTAATTAAAAAAAGAGACCTGGAAATATTTCCAGGTTCTGTCTAGAGCTGTACAATTAATCAAAAAAAGATTGCGTTCTCGATTCGACCCCCTAGACCACAGGTGTCAAACTCAGTTCCAAAAGGGCCGCAGCTCTGCACAGTTTAGTTCCAACCCTAATTAAACACACCTGATCAAACTAATTGAGTCCTTCAGGCTTGTTTGAAACCTACAGGTAAGTGTGTTGTAGCAGGGTTGGAGCTAAACTGTGCAGGGCTTCGGCCCTCCAGGAATTGAGTTTGACACCCCTGCCCTAGACGATCTTAATCCAGCATTTATACCATTCTGCCAATGATATTTATTTTCAAGCTCAGTAGCGAAGGCGGTTGCATGAGTCTTCACATTGTTTTACATGCGTTGTTCAGCAACGTGTTGAAAATTGTACTATTGGCTGCTAATATGATTTTTATGATATGAATTTACAAACAACTGTAAAGACCATGGAAACTTACTGATCAAACTGTTGTGTCCTTAACATTGCCTTTCTCATAGATCACGTTTTTTTTACTCTTCATTTAGTTTGAACTGATCGCTCAGATGGAAATGAACTTCAATAGCAGTCAGACATGAAGCAGCACACATGACTGAGCAGTTTTACGACTGAATGAACTGTCAACATAACATTGCTTTTTATTGCTGCATATTTTATAGCTTATTTTATACTTTTACATAGTACATAAATCCTCAGATGAGTGCTTTAGCAATTGAGGTAAAGTTCAGTGATGTAAAGTCATAGTAAATTCATTCAGTGGCATCTTGTGACACTGTGCCTATATTGTTTAACATGCTACTTTGAATAATGCATCTGAAATCGCATGCAAATATGATTTCAAAACTACATTACCACTAGGCCTGCACAATATATTTTTGGTAAAGTGCGAGTCTGCAAAAGTCACATCACAGGGATCTGTATTGTAGTTGGGATTATAGTTGACCAGACATTACTTTTACCACATAAAGTGATTTCAATTTTTAACCTTAGAGTGAAGGTTTATTATTTGCATGTGCCTCGAAGGCCTGTGACACTGACGATTTGAAGCAAATCAAAGCCATTTGGGCACAATAAATAAAACTTTTGTAGCCTACAAATTAATAGAACATCATAGTGTTGGGTCGATAGTTGATGCTATTGCAGATGGTCGATAGACATCACGATGATGAGCTGGCTTCCCAATCCTCCACCCCGGCCCCTTCGCAGCAGCAACCCTCTCACGAAAAATACACACTTGGGCCCTGTTTACACTAATACATCTTAATTTTAGAACAAAAATGGTCCACGTCCACACTGGCGTTTCATTTATGATTTTTGAAAAGTACTCCATCCACACTATACCACTGAAAATGCACATCACGTGACCACGGACATGCACTGCAGCATATGTGCGGGTCTGAGCTCCAGCAGTCAGCGGGTGCTTTCAGCAAAAAACCCCAGAGAGCAGTGCACGTCGGACAGTTTATCAAGGATATACCACTTGATCGCGTCTCACTATAGTTGTTAAACGTTATATTTAATTAATCTGGTCTCTATCTAATGACTCTTAGATCTTTTGAATCTATCAGGTAACGTGTCACAGCGTCAGTACACTGCTTCACTCTTTCGCTTTCACGCTTATCCTTAGTCATTTTAGTGTAAACCTCATATACTGTTGGTTGGTTCCTGTTGGTTGTACACTTTTTTTACCAACCAAGTTTGTGGACGCCAATATAACAACACAGATCACTCTGCCTATTCATGCCAGAGTCCTGCGGCAAAAGAATATGACAGGTGATAATTTGTGTGTAACTTTATTTATGATTTGTTTATGGGAAATCAAAGCATGTGGGTCAGGTAGTTGAAGCCTTAGGCTACAAATAATTTGTTATAAAATAATTAATCATTCATAAATAAATAATTTACTGCTACCTGTGATGAAGATGCCGTTGTCCAGTGTGATGTTTTAAATTAGACATCGTACAATGCCCAATTGGTCTGCGTCCCCCAACCCTAGTACATTATAGAATTATTTACATAATCTTAAAAAGATGGTGTTATTATTATTGTACAGGGATTATTTAGCATCTTTTCTCTGTTTTTATTACATTTTTTTCCCAAATTATATTTTATTCAGATGCACTTCCCTACAGAATCATCTCAATCTATCTGTACAAGCTATTCAAGTCATCTGGTGAAATTGCATTTATATCGCACTATATATCGCAGTGAATGAAAATTTTGCAATGTCAGTTCTTTTCATTATCATGCAGCCCCAATAACCATCATTTATTTGACTGTGAACAATGTTGTACTTTGATAGTCTTTGGCTGATGATATGATTTCTAGGGTTGGGCCGATAGGAGATGCCATCGTCCATCGCCAATGGCTAATAGACAACACGATGCTGAGCCGGTATCGCGGATCCTCCGCCCCCATCAAAAACCCGTTGGCGAAAAATACACACTTAGACCCCATTTACACTAATACATAGTATTAAAATGGCATTTTAGAAAGAAAATGCTCCACATTCACACCGTGTTTTACCTAGCATTTCTAAACAGCCCTCCGTCTGATGAAAACGCACATCACGTCATACACAGTCACACACACTGTCTAAAGCCTGATTTATACTTCTGCGTCAAGTGACCGGCATAACCCACGGTGCATGCAACGCGCGTAGCTGTGCATTTATACTTTTGCACACCGTCTCTGTTGGTCTGCATTAACACTTCAGAAACGCTAGTTGGCAGTGAGGTGTAAATGTTCCTCTGTGTCGAGTTTCTTTGCTGCTGTTTTGCTTTTCCTGAACACTTCCTGGTTGTACAAGTGACTCAAACTCGCTCATTTTGAGACAGGAACCGGCGGACGTGGAACAGCTTTAACTATGAGGTAAACACAGAACAAAACTTTCCATCCGGAGCTCCTTCACGAGACTCCACACTTGTAAACAATCGCTCCATTTGGCTCGCGCCATTCGCGCGGCTCTCGGTCCCGCCCAGACTCGTCAGCGCTACCAAGCCGACCAATCACAGAGCTTGCGCTACGCGTAGTTGCGACGTGTAGTTACAATTTTTGACAGGTGCACGTCAGTGACGGCGACGGCCACGGCGAAGGGCTATGCGTCAGCACCGTAGCATACGCCGGCGTTTGACGCAGAAGTATAAATCAGCCTTAAGCTCCTTTGAGCTCCAGAGAGCAGTGCACATCGGACAGTTTATCAAGGATGTACCGCTGGATCGCGTCTCACTATAGTTGTTAACCGTGATATTTAATTAATCTCGTCTCTATATAACGACTCTTCGGTCTTGTGAATCTATCAGGTAACGTGCCACAACATCAGTACACTGCTTCAGTCTTTCACTTTCACACTTGTACTTAGTATTTTTAGTGAAAACCTCAAATACTGTTGGTTGTGCACCTTTTTTACCGACCAACCTCCCGCGGAAAAAGTGATTGACAGGTGGTCATTTGTGTGTAACTTGTCTTTATTTATTTATGATTTGTTTGTGGGTAAAACAAACACCATGCGGGTCAGGTAGTTGAAATGGTAGGATACAGATAATTTGTTATGAATTAATTAATTATTCATAAATAATTAATTCACCTCCGCCTATGACGACGATGCTATCAGCCATCGCTATGTTTCACATTAGACATCGTACGATGCCAAATTGGTCAACATCGTCCAACCCTAATGATTTCCCTATTATGAGTTAGTAAATAATACTTTTCTGAAATTATATTGTTAATGGTAAAGCCTGAATGTGCGAGTATAGAACCTACTTTTCTCCAATGCTTATAGACCAATTTAGTGTGGTCATGTCATTGGTCCATGAACAATTCCTGTTTGTTAACAAACTATTTCATAACTGAAACAAGAGGCAATTCAATCATAACTTAATGTTAAAACAGCCATCATAGCATTATTTATCAGTATGTGGCTCTCTTTGGATTCCCGGATGCTATTTAAAAAAGAAAAATGTAAAACAGGAAATGCGTTGGGACCGTTGTTTTTGTTTACATCCCTGAAAATGGTCTATATAAAAAGTGATTTTAAGGCCTCTGTAAACATTTCAAGCAAGTTTAAAGCATTTTTAAAACAAATGAACTATTAGATTAAGTTGGAAAAAATTACTGTCGAGAGGTTCATCTAACCAGTTTAAAAAAATTTGGGACCATTTAGGAAATATATCCAAGAACATGTTTTGTCAACTACAGACCAAGTCCTTGTTCCAGCAAATAGATTTTTTCTTTTCTAAGTGCAAAGTACAGTGTATGGTGTGCTTCAGAATGTACAATTGTAGTTTTTAAGCCACATTATTATTATTATTTACCTTTTTATTTGTTGGTATGTTTTTTTTTTTTTTGCTTTGTTTTTTTTTCATTGTATGTGCTTAAGTTGATACTATCTATACTTTTTAAATCTAATTTAGTCTTTTTTTAACTGTAATTTGACAGTCATAAATAAAAAAATTAACTATTAGCTTTAACAAGGAATAATTGTTCTTAATTATTTACACAATAAAGAATATACACAGCTTTATTGCACATTTGATTCTTTTATTTCTGTTCCTCTATAGTGTTAGTCTCCTTCATTTGTATTTTTGCTCTATTTTATCTCTGCCTGTAGTTTATTAGTTTTTATGCACTCCCCTGCAAAATCATCCTGATCAATCTAAAAGTAAGTTGGTTAATTATCTTGTGATATCGCAATAGAAATCACAGAAAGTGAAAATGTCGCAACGCAAGTTTTTTCCAGTGTTTTGCAGCCCTATTATTTAGGATAAAGTCTGAATTTGCGTATAAAACCAACCTTATCCCAATGCTTGTATTGAACTAAAGTTGGTTTTATATTTGCACATTCGTTCATTGACAGCTTGTGACACTGTTCCTATATTGTTTACCATGCTACTTTGAATATTGGGTCTAAAATTGCATGTGAGAATTACTTTAAAACAATATAAACACTTTTTTTGACAGTGAAAAATGTTGTACTTTGATAGTTATTGGTTGATAATATCCCTTTAAAAACTTGCTAACAATACTTTTCTAAAATTGTGTTATTAAAGAGAAAGTCTGATTGTGCGAGTATAAAACCAACTTCACCCCAATGCTTATGTGTTTTAATGGTAAAACCAATTCTGTCTGTCTGCCAGATGACGTCAGCAAAGCCCCCGTTACCTGCAGACGGCCAGCAGGATGAGGTTGAACTGCGATTGGGGCTCGAGCCAGAAGTCCCGTTGGAAACAGCCCGGGACGGTTGGGACAGTAAAGTAGAGTATTTCCTTGCTCAAGTCGGATTCAGTGTGGGATTGGGAAACGTTTGGAGGTTTCCGTATCTCTGCCACCAGAACGGAGGCGGTGAGTGTGGAGGGTGCATAAATTATCTAAGCTTGTCCTTTCCGTTTCTGACGTTGTTAATGCTTTCACTCATTGTCTTTCAGGAGCATTTATTTTGCTGTACGTGGTGTTGATGGCGCTGGTCGGTGTGCCGCTGTTTTTTCTGGAGCTTGCGGCTGGTCAGAGCATCAGACAGGGCAGCATTGGTGTCTGGAGGCACATTTCTCCAAAACTTGTTGGCATTGGCTACTCCAGCTGTGTGGTGAGTATGTCCAGTGTTATTTGCTGTGGAACAGTGAACTTTATCCAGGATTAAATGGTTTCTTTCAGACACTGTGTGAGAAGAGCAGTGTGAACCAAAGTAAAATTAGGCTCCTGTATCTTGTGTAGCTGATGTAACTCAAAGGCATAGTTCACTGTAAACTGTCATCATTTACACATAATTCACTTGTCACATCCTGTTTGAGTTTAAGTAGGACTGTCATGATATCTTTTTTGTTTTTTGTTTTTTTTTGTCGTATGATATTTTGCACCAAAATATATTGGTGTATACACCAAATATATTATATGTTATAATATTATTGTCATTTTAAGACAATTTTGTGCCACTCATGACAATATAACATCTTCATGATGCAAGTACACCATTTTAAAGGGCACATCATATTTTATTCTAAAGAATATTTGATTTAATTATAGTCATTTTAACAATTTAATAATGAGGCATTACAATCAGAATGTGAAGAAGCATATCCTAAATAAATAACAATAAATGTTAACAAAAAATTGCCAGGTAAAAAGAAACAGAGGCTGTGATATCTGCTGCCAGATTCAAATTTAGCAAATTCACATTTAACAAGCAGCTAAATGTTGTGTTTCTCTCTTCCTTTCCAAGGTGTGTTTCTTTGTTGCTCTGTATTATAACGTCATCATCGGCTGGAGTATTTTTTATTTGGGGAACTCTTTCCAGTATCCTCTGCCATGGGAAAAATGTCCAACAGAAGGGAACAGCACAGGTAATCAAATCACTTTTAATGCCAGATCATCTGCGATTACGTGTTGCGTTAACGATATTTTTTACAATATAACATTTACCTGGAAAAAGCTCTTTTTAAAAACATTTTATGTAATAATATTAAAATTAACGGGTGAAAGATATATTTCAGACCAAATTAATTCTAATTCAGACTAAAAACTCTGTCAAGGTGCAAACGTTTAATCTATAAAACAATATGAATGAGTGAAATTGTCTGCAAATATTCTGACTCTGATTGACCGTTCATTTTCCTCTCTTCTTGACTCCTGCTATTTGTATTTCTTTTCAGCTCTTGGTTCACCTTTGGGTGATGCAGGAATAGAAACGGTTTCTAAAATAGAAATTCCATTTATCATCAGTGCTGATTGTTAGGACAAAAACTCTGTGCATGGGGGATAATGGGCAACCCTGTCTTGTAAAAGGAGTTAACCTGAAGCAAACACATCTAAGCTTATTTGTCTGTACTGTTGACATAGGGGATGCATATTGGATTTTTTTTCCATGAGCTAAATGTTTTGCCAAAACCGAATCTTGACAGGGCTGAGAAAAGATAATCCCATTCGAAGGCCTTCCCAGCATCTAGTGAATTGAGTGTTTCAGAATGAGATCTTGAATGAGAGGAGTATATAATATCAAATAATCTCCGAATGTTTTAAACAATTTGTCTGTTTTTAATGAAGCCAGCCTGATCCTCATGAATTATTGTTGGGAGCACATTTTCTAACCTATTGGCAATCATTTTAGCTAGTATTTTATTATCTACGTTTAGCAAACTGACTGGTTTATATGATGCTGGATCATGTAGGTATAGTAAAGAAATTAATGCTTGGTAAAATGTATCGTTAGAGAAAGGTCTTTCAGACACATCAAAGACATCTAGGAGAAGAGGAGAAACCTCTGCAGAAAACATCTTGTAAAATTCGAGTGTATACCCATATCTGGACCAGGTGACTTTGAAGATTGTAGACTACGTATTGCAGAATGAACCTTTTCCAAAGTTGCGGGTTTATTTAAAACTTAATTATTAGGATATAAAAATAATCAAAAAGAACATTGATTAATTTAGCATCCTTTGTTGACTGGTATATAAATTCATATAAAAAAAGTAAATTCTTAATTTCCAGTTGATCTTTTGTTATGCAACCCATACTTGCGTAAATTTCAGCTTGATCCACTTTAAGTCATCTGATTGAATTGTATTCACATTGTATTGATTAACCTTAATTTCCAGACTTCGTGCAGCCTTATTTAAAAGGCTACTGTTTTTGTGTGGAGATGTTTATTTGAAGATGCTCTGCTTTTTTCTTCTGGTAGTGAAGGAATGTGCTGCCAGCTCTCCTACAGCATATTTCTGGTACCGTAAAGCTCTGGATATCACCGATTCCATTGACGAAACGGGAGAGTTCAATTTCATACTCACTGGATGTCTGCTGGCCGCTTGGGTCATAGTGTGTCTGGCTATGTACAAGGGCATCAAGTCTTCCGGAAAGGTAATGTTGCATTGTATATTGAGTATAACATTAGAGTAACAATAAGCTAGTGCTTTTACAGATAATGATCAATAGACACTAAGGTTGTGCCAATAGACCAATCGATGGCCGACAAACTTCACGATGCTGAGCTGGAAGAGGTGTGAACCTATACTGGTCTCACAGTTTGGTTACGATTATCATGCCTTCGGTTCAATTCGATATCTCGGTGCATCACGGTGCATTGACGATGCTTTCCATGTAAAGTGTTATATTTTAGGGGGGAGGCTATAACAAGCTGTCTGTATAAACACACAGATACACAGCACCACACTGTCTCTTGTTCAAACACAAACACAAACATACACAAACATAGACAGCACCTAACAAACACACACATACACACTTAAGCCCTCACAACAGGGAGAGCTTGCGCTGAGCGGAGCAGAAAAACGAAAAAAAGAAGCCCTTTTCCGACGGTCCCTTACTGAGAGCTCCTCTCAGTGCAAGCTCTCTCGGCTAAACACATATTGTGAGGGCTTAACCGGAGCAGTGCTCGTAATGTCGAGCGAAAAAAAGAAAGACAGCTGTGAAACATAACCAGCTTTGTCTTTTTGTAGGAAACACACTTTAGATCTTTTTAGGGTAAGAGGTTTTTGAGTTATTGCTATGTCTATAACTGAATGTGTGTCAGGAATATCGAAAGCAAAACCAACTGAACCGCGCTCATTTCTGTCGCCCCCCTGGATATACAGCGCCCTCAGCATTTGCCTATGGTGCCTATGCCACGGGCTGGCCCTGAGTTGACTGAGTGTTGGAAATACTGTTATTGTCATTGACTGAGAGATTGACAGCTCATATTAACCAATCATTCGAGTTCAGTTCTAGAGCAGTGGACCAATAAGAAGGGCACAAAGGCGGGGCAAGCATTGCAGCCTGTTTTACTTCAGCAAGTTCACATAACAACTGTTTATCTGTTCCTGAGCGCTGCGTTTGGCGTTTTTAGGTGCAAAGATGCATTCTGCATGAATGTCTCCTAAATCCGCGCACGCGGTGAGGATTTTGCAGTGAAAACAATGAAAATGTATGCGCTATAGTGAACTCCAACCGAACTCTCGTCTCCTCCACCAGCTGTGGGAAAAGCCATCAGAATGACACGGATCACTCTGCCTATTCACGCCAGAGAAAAAAAGTGCTTGACAGGTGGTCATTTGTTCGTAACTTTATTTATTTATTTATGGTTTGGTTATGGGTAAAGCAAAGACCATGTGGGTCAGGTAGTGAAAACAGTAGGCTACAATTAATTAATTTGTTATGAATTATTTGATATTTAACAACAACCCCCTGCCTATGACGTCAATGGCATCGTCCTACACGATGTTTCACATTAGACATCGTACAATGCCAAATCTGTCAACATCGCCCAACCCTAATAGACACTCTTTTTTTTCTTAAAGAAATTAAAAGCAATAAATATACAATTTAGATTCAAAATGCAAAAAGAAAAGATTTTTGGTTAAAAAAAAAAAAAAAAAAAACTTTATTAAATTTTTTATTTTTTATTTATTTTTTTAATAAAGTAGTTTTTGTATCTGTGTAATTGCTTCAGTGCAAAGTTGGAAAGAGACAGATTTCCAGCAGGACCATGCTGTGTGTGTTATATTATTAAAATGCTGTGATTGTTTGTGTTATTGATTGTAGGTGATGTATTTCTCCTCCGTGTTTCCATACGTGGTTCTGCTGTGCTTTCTGATCAGAGGCGTGACGCTGGATGGAGCATCAGAGGGCATTAAATTCATGTTTTACCCCAGAGTACGTACACTAACACACGACTACCGTCAAGATCCAGAATATGACATTGATTATGATTATTGATTAAACACCATAATCAGAAAACAGCGTCTTCTAGTTTTTTTTCTTTGTTTGTTTTGATTATGTGCTGTTTAATTTTAAAATATGCGTGTATGTTTCTATTTTGTCTTTAAATACTGTTTATTTGCTTCTCACTTTGAAATGACATATTTATTACATTTATACAGGGTTTAAAGTAAACTGCTTGTGTTTCTCTTAGCTGGAGATCTGGGCTGATGTTCAGGTGTGGCGTCAGGCGGCGACGCAGGTCTTTTTCGCTCTGGGTTTGGGTTTTGGTTCTGTGATTGCGTACTCTTCCTATAACCCACGAAACAACAACTGCCATCGAGACGCGTTCACTGTGTCTGGAGTCAACTTCATGACGTCTGTTTTGGCCACGCTGGTGGTGTTTGCTGTGCTGGGCTTCAGGGCCAAAACCATCGCCACAGAGTGTGTCAAGCGGTCAGTGTGCAGCACTTTTGGTTCTAAGATCTAATATAAAATAAAGCTGTATAAGATATACTGTAGTCAACATTTGAAGTGCATCCAAAAATTCTTTCAAAATTCATTCATTCGTTTTCCTTCAGCTTAGTCCCTATAGTTATCACGGGTCGCCACAGCCAACTTATCCAGCATATGTTTTACTCTGCGGATGCCCTTCCAGCTGCAACCCAGTACTGGGAAACACGCATACACGCTCACATTCACTGACACCCATATAGTTTGGCCAATTTAGCTTACCCTATTCACCTATAGCACGTGGGTTTGTACTCTGGGGGAAACCGCAGCACCCAGAGGAAACCCATGCCAACACGGGGAGAACATGCAAACTCCACACAGAAATGCCAACTGACCCAGCCAGGACTCGAACCAGCGACCTTCTTGCAGTGAGGTGAACGTGCTAACCACTCAGCCACTGTCACCTTCTTTCAAAATTGCCCTAAGATAAGAATTGGTGTTGAACCACTTCAAGTGTTGACTGCTATAGTTTATAGTTTAATTGACCTTGTAATGAGCATACCTGTGATAGACACATTGTAGGAAGTTTAGCGTAGGTAGAGGTTTAAAGTATTACCATAGCAGTGAAAGTTTATCATTTGTATGTTTTTAAGACCCGTGACTGAGCATTTCAGGTGTGTATAAAACATTTGGGCACACAACATTATAACATTTGTAGCTTAAAGATTAATTGTGGTCATTTATATGATGAAGATTGTTTTGTTTTAGATTGATTTATTCAATGTCTGTACATTAATGCTGTTAGAAAACCCCTGAAAACCACGAAGCAGTTTAATTCATTTGTATATTTATGCTATATATGCTTGTAATGTTTGTTTTATGCAGATGTGCTTTCCTCAGGGTGTTCGCTGGGTCTTAAAATGTCTTCAATTTCAAAAACAAAATTGTATGTGTTGAATATCGTAAATGATTTTAAACAGGTCTTAATTTTGTAAGTAAAGCTACCCATTCGGGTCGACATGCATCCGATCACTAGCAATCCATCCTAATAAAATCAGAGAAGGAAAACTAAAAACAGTTCCTCGTTATAATAGCAGAAATGCATTAGGTTGAATAGAAGTTATACTCAATCAATCTGCACCAAAAGCCAACAAATATATATTTTGATTGTTTATGTAATTGCCTTCACAATAAATAACTTTAATGTTAAATCAAGGTGTCATTTAAAAAAATTAAATAATGTTTAAAATAGTGTATACAACTAGAGTTTTCTTCTTTTGACACATTAAAGTATGCCACTGAGAAATAATTACATTGGATTATTTATTTTTTTTAATGGCAAGCAAAAAAAAAAATTTCCATTGGCCCAACTGGACCATTAGAAATAATCATTAGTGTTCAGCCCTGTATTAGGCTAAAATGTTCTTCATAATGGTCTTAAAAGGGTCTTTAAAAGTCTTAGATTTGACTTGATGAAACCTGCAGAAACCCTGTTTCCTATAAAAAGTATCCCAATCTAAAAATGATCTAAAAAACTAACTATTAAATTTTAAAATGAATTTTTGTTAATCATCTGGTCAAATTATATTCAAATCGCGATATAGCGGAAAAATGTATAAATATTAATTTATAATTTTATATATAATTATTTTTAATCTCATATTGTGCAAGCATTATGATCTTTTACTTAATAATATTATTTATTTGTATTTTTTTTTTTACTATTATTCATATATTTTTATAGAATTAAATATATTGGTGCGGTGGGGTTTTTTTTTGTTTGTTGTCTAAAAAAAAAAAAGACCTTTTACACATGAAATTCACAAGCGGATTCACAAGCGGAAAAGAGAGAAGAGAACGCAAACAGAAAACAAACAACAAAACATACGTGGAACGTAACAATATTAATAAAAACATTATTCTTCAGCCAATGTAGTTCCTCAGAATCTGTTGTGGTTGAAGCAAAGTGCTTGCCGAGCAACACAGATCCAGCAATAATAAAGTAATGAGGTCACGGGTGTACATTTATTGTGTATTTTACAACTGTTTCAAACGCAACTCCTGCAGCCACAATCTGTTTTATAATGCCTCATAATACACTGTTTGATTTGTACAGTGTTTTCACAATTTCATTCACTAGTTTTTTTTTTTTAACTATGGTAGCATTACTTCACATAACTTTTGAGTTGCTTTAAGATGCTTGGATGTGTCTTTATGTTGCAGTAATCTGAAGGCCCTGCTTAAGGTGACGTCCAGCGCTCCTCTACCTGTCCTTTCCATCAATGCTTCAGATGTAGAGAGCATCTCATTGGACGAGTATGCAAACTGGTACTCGACTCAAGGGATGGAGCTCAGTATCTCTGACTACAACATCACAGCCTGCAGCCTGGAGGATGAACTCAGACAGGTACAGTTACTGCAGATTTAATGGAAATAAATGTAGGGCCTGCGCATAAGGTCTAAGGGCGTACTCACACTATGTACAGTTGCCTTTACCGTGCCGAAGCGCGCTTGTCCCCCACTCCCCTCTGCCCCAACAGCCTGCACTCACATTGCATCCGAGCCTGAGCATGCTTGCGTCAGTGATGCGCTGTTCAGTTTAATAGTAGAGAAGTGCTCTCGCTCTGCACAGTAAACATTTCTTTAGTTATATCATTTTGGTCGTTTAAGATCCAGTCACACAAAGTCAAATATTTCGCTGAACAGATCAGCCACTTTGGTTGCTCATAAACAATCATAAAGTCCTTGTGCTGCAGGTATTAGGAGGTTTGCTGAAGGTGCAGCTGATGAGGGGTTTGTGTCTTTAATAATCTGATAGTTTGCGTTCATTGAACAGTAAGAATGATCAATAAACACATATGAAACAGTCCCTTAAAGGGCCATGAAATCCCCTCGTTTCAGCAGGGTGTTTTCACACCTCTACTTTGAAAAAAGTCAGAAAAGTGGGCGTGTCCAGCTCTGTTTAGGGGTATTGTCGGAGGAACTAAAGTGGGAGGGTGTGGGAGTGTCTATTTGTGCACGCGTGAGTTTCAGTCAAAATACAAACACATTAGAAAGTGATGGTGTTTAACCTACATGGACATCTGTAGTCGAATTATTTGCCAAATTATTAAATGGTGGACTTTAACTGCAGTTTGGCTCTTTCATTCAGGGAATTCATTCATGCCCCTCGCGACAAACGCGATATTTGATTCGAGGAGCTGCTCTAAGCGTGTATTTTTCATGCAATGTTTGATACCGCACGGCGAATGAGAGAAAAAAACTCAGCATTTCCCGGAAACTTATTTGCACACGGCAGGTAGCGTCAGAAAGCCGCGTGTGTTATTCCGGTCACAAAATGCGGTGCTATGTTTGCACTCAGTGCAATAGTTAACTTAATTCGGTACGAACAAACTGAATAAACAAAGAGCACTGGTCGCTCACTTACCAAATCTGTAGAGACAGGACAATCATCAGCAACTAGAGCCGCGTCTTTATGAAGAGGAGACTAACGTTACAAGCGAATCCGGATTTCAGCGTTTGCAGATGAGAACAGCTCTCAGGTAAACAATAATCCACCTTAGACACGTAAGTTATTGTTCTCGAGCGTCGCGTACACTGTTAATCCACACGTGATCCAGCTGAGCTCTCACAGAGAGAAAATGAAAACAAAACTTAACTGCAGCAAACTATAAAAGCAACACTTCACGCCTGTTTTGCCAACACAACGCAAGTGGTGCTCGCTGCAGAGCCATTTGAGGCGAGCTGAGCTCCAGAGAGGGGGAGCTTAAGCTTGAGCTCCACCTTTTTTGCACTTCTTCTTCGAGTGATGTCACTGGGGGTAGGGTTAGGGGTGGGGTTGGTGTACGCATTAAAACAGCTTACAGGAGGAGGAGCGACAGCTCATGCTCCCCCTCT